TGGTCGTGCCCATCTCTTCCCACCCATCTGTCCTTCGCGTTCTGGGTACCGACCCCTCCTCCCCTGTGGACACGCACTGAAGGCCCCTTGCTGGGATCAACTCGGGTGTTCAGGCATGGCCCCTCTTCTCTCCGTCCATGCCCCTCTCCTGTGGCAAAATCCGTTACTATGACAGGGTTCTGTTGCATTTAAATTTGCACAAAGCAGGTTTTATTATGAAATTCCCTATTGCAGGGAAGACTTATTTATTTATTTCTCGCAATCTTTCCAAGTTTCTTCCAGTCTCTGCCTGATTCTATGACCAGCGTGTCAGACACTCTGGAGATGGACGTTTCTTCTCAAGGACGGAGAATCCTCTCTTGGATGTTCCTGTTTTCTTACAGGTAGCGAGTCCTGTGGGCACCAGCTGAGAGTGCCCTGCCACAGCGACCATTCCCCTGCTGCAAGACACAAGTGCAGCAAAGGGCTGTTGCTGCTTTAATCATGTTCTCAGAAAAGCGACATTCTTGAATGGCAGGCATTCAGATTTAGTTTGTACTGCAGTCAGAGAAAGTTGCTTCCACGGTGGTCTGGATGAAATGCCGAGAACTGATCAGTATTGAAGATAAATATCTGTTAGTGTATTTAAATGTCTCCTGTTGGCCTAACTAAGAATAGCTGACACCCACACGCTGCAGTTGAGAGGGCTTGCTTTCATCTGTCCGGCGGCAAAGTTAGGCTGCACACATGGAAGCTGCGCTGCTGCTTTTTTTTTTTTTTTAATGTAGAAATGATGGGTAATATTTTTTAATGAAAATAGAGGGTTCTCGGACGCTGCTGCCTCAGTGGAATGCCATTTCTTTGTCTGGGTCTGCCCTGGTTGCAGCAAGATGCTGTTTTTTTGGTGCCTTTCTTGTCAGGATGATTCTTTTGGTTTCCAGAACACCCAGTGCGTTTGCTCTAATAGTCTTTTTCCCGGCTCTCTGTCCTGGTGACTCTGCCCTCTCCCAGCCTTGTGACTTGGTGTTTTTCTGTTAAGGTATGGCCTGACCCGCATTTATGCCCTGCCACACCTTGAGTTCTGCTCAGAGCACCCGAGGTACTGTCTTTCCCAAATTGGAATTAATAATTAATATAAAAAGCTTGAAAAAAATCTGAATTTTGTTACATAGTGTAATAACTGTTTGTAGATACTGTTCTGAGATGTAGGAATCTATTGGTGATATAAGAGGTTTTGTCTGTAAATAATCAGTTTAGAGTCCAAATGATTTTAATAAAGAGAATTCTTACACAATAATTCAATAAATTTTAATATACAACCTCTGCTTCATGTTTGTGTTGCACGATGATGCAAATGCCCTGGCTCTCTTTGCGTCCTTTTTTTTTTTTTATCTCCCTCATGGGACCGGTGCACTCCTGAGCCCCAGCACTGGGAGCCGTGTCAGCAGTGGGGGGCTTTTCCCTCCTGCTTCCTCCATCATCTGTAAGATGTTGGCTGCATTTCTCGGATATAACCTTGTGCCACCTTCCACTGCTGGCTCCCACTGCTCCCAGCGCTGAGTTCCAGCCTCCCGCAGCCGGGCTGGAGCTGGGAGCGGGGCCTGGGGCCGTGTTTCAGCTCTGGTTGTGGTTTTCTGCAGCGGGTAAGTGGGGAGGGGGTTGCTTTGAGGTACAGGTGATGTTGGTTGCTATTGTCCAACAGTGTGAAGCAGGAACTGGCCTTCCTAAATTGGCAAAAACTTAATTCTTAAGGGAATTTACTTAAGGTGAAGCTGGCTCCCGGCCCATCTATCCTATCTTCGCCTCCGCTACCCCCTTGTTCCTTTACCAGCAGAGTTTTGGTTCCAGCCTGCGTCTCCCCGCTCTCACCTCTGTGATGGCCGGTGGGGTCACACTGACCTTGAGGGGTTTCAAATCCCTCGTCTCCAGCCCGGTGCTGCACGGGCAGGGGGAGAAGCTCCAGGGGGGGCCCGATGTTCACCCCACCAGCCCGGAGCTGCTGGTGCCAGGCGGCGTTAACCCTTTGCTTCAGGGATGGGGCTCAGCCTCGGCAGCCCCCGTGAGGAAACCCGAGCGGTGCAACACCAGGGCCCAGCGAGGGGAAAGCCGGGGCAGGCCCCGCTCTGGTGCAAGTGATAGCTGCCAATTAACTTGTATTTTGCTTAGGAAGGTAGACTGCTTAGAAGATAGATCCTTGAAACAAGCTGTTATTGTTAACTATAGGCCTTTGAAGGTAGTTGTTGCTTAATTGCATAGCCTTGTACATAGCCACTGACCACCCAAGGTCAGTACATTTAGACTGAGTAGAATATTTGCTGAATATCCAAAGACAAAAAGAGGAGTTGTAAGAAGACCAGAATGGGCTGGGTTTATGGCATGTAGACTTAATCCAAACAATGATGGGTGCCAACAGAGTGCCAACCTGGTGCCAATAAAGGAATGCTTCTTTCAGAAACCATAAACCTTGGTCTCTGAGAGTTTCTTTACTGACTGACTTTTACGGTATCGTTTTGGAAACCCAGATGGGACCATGCTCCTGAGACTTGACGGGTCATGGGATTGTAGGGTCTCTAGCCACAGCACCAAGGAAATTCTCAGGGATGCCTCTGATCCCCAGACTGAAGAGTTCTTGAGCAAAAATTCATCTGTTGTAAGTAAAGAATTCCTTCTGTTTTATTTTATTGTATCTTATTTTTAAATTTCTATCCAAAAGGTGCAGTACAGGAGGCTTCATGGAATTGGAATTTGTATTGTGGGGTTAGAGGCCCCTCTCCCTCCATAAGATGCAGCACAGGGTCAGATTGCTTGGGGTTAGAGGCCCCTCTTGGAGTCTCGATTAAGTTTCCTTTTTTAGAGTCCCCTCTCAGATGACTGTGTTTTCAGATCTGTGAGTTTGGATTGTCATTGTGTGTCTTTTGGTGTTAATTGTTCTGTATTATTGTGCATCTAAGTGTTGTTTGAAAATCCCTCCTTGCCTCTGTGTCTAGAATGGGGGCAACAATTTCAAAACCTACTGAAGGGGGAATATTTAAAAAAATCACCTTTTGGCTGTGTTTTAAAGCACTGGAAACAGATGGGAAATGCTCTGGGGGGAAACACCCAGAAAGAGGATCTTATTAAATATTGTAATCAATGGTGGCCCCTTTATAAGTTAGAAGATGGGACAAAATGGTCAGTAAATGGAACATTCGATTATGATACCCTTCTGCCATTAACTTTAAGGAGAGAAAATAAATGGGATTAATTGATGTATGCAGATATGTTTTCTGTTGTACGAAGAATTCCTGATTGGCAAAAAGAATGTGGGATTAATTTGGCTCCCAGTGATCCCTTTGTGTTAGCCTTAGAAAAGGATAAGCGAGAACAAGAGAGAAATAAGCCTTTAAAAAGATGTTTTTTGGCATGTAGTATTGGGCATAGATGTTTGAAGTTGGTAGAGGATGACCCAGAGAAAAAAGTTGAGCTTTTAGTACCTTCTCCAAGGAGACTAGCAGAAGGAAGGGAAAATCTCAAAAGAGAAGGTGCTGTTCTTCCCCTGGATGTCTCCCCTGAAAGAGATGAGAGCGATCCAGAGGAAGGGGGAAGTCAGGGAATTGGCAGCACACCAATTGGGGGAAGAACTCGAGGAAAACAAGCGGGGCCCCTCTGTGACAGGCAGTAGGAAATAATGGGCTGGTGATGGTAAAAAAACCTTTCTCAATAACAGATTTAAATAATTGGAAGATGGCTGTGGAAAGTTATAGGGACAAGCCAGAGAAGGTAGCAAATGCTTTTGAGTTAAAGATAAAAACTCAGAATCCTCATTGGAGTGACATAAAAGCCATCTAGGAGTCATACTGGATGGTACAGAAAGGGATATGATTAGAAGAGGGGCAAAAATTCAGGTGGAAGGATTAATAGCTACCAGAGTGTTGATGGGACAGGTGGACACCCATTTACCTTTGGCAGATCCGGAGTGGGATCCTAACGCAGCCACACATGCGAGATCTTTAAGACAGTATCAAATATTGATCTCGTATGGAATCAGACATGGATTCCCATAAAGCAGTAAATTGGTCAAAGTTATATGAAATAAAACAAGATAGGAAGGAATCACCTACTTAATTTTAAAACAGATTAAAAGAAGCTGCACAAAAGTATACCACGTTAGACATTGAATCTGAGGAGGGCAAGCTACAGTGGGCTACTTTGTTTATGAGACAGTCCGCGGATGACATCAGGCGGGAACTGCAGAAATTGCAGGGAGCTAATGCCAGAGATTTAGCAGAACTAGATGTGGCATGGGTAATTTATTGAAATAGAAATCAGTGGAGAGAAGAGGGTAGTGCTAGATTGATTGCAGCTTTAGAAAGAATGAGGGGGGAAGTAGAGTGAGGAAGAAGTTCAGATGTGACTCGTAATGGTAAAACAGGTAGAGGTGCAGGTCGTGGCCAGGACCTGAATAGACAACAACTGGGAGAAAATCAGTGTGTGTTTTGTAGGGAAGAGGGACATTGGAAAAGAAATTGCCTGCAATTGCAGAAAAAGTCTTGAGGGAGGCCAACATTAATTGCAGAAGTGGATGAGTGAAGAGGATTGGGGGATTCTTCACCAGCAGAACCCCTGATTAAAATAAAGCTGGGGGAGAACACAAGGATTTAGAGCACTTAGTGGGTACCAGCGCCTCATATTCAGTTTTGAATACCGAAGATTTTCCTTTAGGAAGAGGTACTGTGGGGATTGTTGATGTGACTGGGAAATCTGAAGTTCGGCAATTCTTTTAAACAACTGAAATTTAAAATTGGGAAACAGTGGGTGACATCAATGTCTATATTTGCCTAGCTCACCTAAGCCTTTAATCGGATGGGATTTATTAAAGCAATTGGAGTCAGAGATTAAATTTAGAAAAGGTGAAATTGAAATTTAGTTTCCTGAGTCTAAATTTGCCCAGGCCTCTATATTTTTATTACAGGACTTGGATCAAATAAAAATTTCAAATGTTCCACTCGAGATTGAGAATGCAGTGATCTGCGTAGTTTTGGCGAGTGGAGTTCCTGGGAGATTGAAGGAGGCAGACCCAGCTAAAGTTGAAATAAAGCCTGGATCATCCCTGATGAGATTGAAACAATACCCTATCAAATTGGAAGCTAAGGTAGGACTTTTGCCAGTTGTTCGGAATTTCTTGAAATGTGGGCTGTTAAGGGAGTATGAGTCTAAATATAATATCCCCGTACTACCTGTGAGAAAGGCTAATGGAAAATATTACAGACTAGTCCAGGATTTGAGAGCAATTAACCAGTTAACAGAAGACGTCCATCCTGTAGTAGCAAACCCCTATATTTTGCTAAATACTTTATCAGAAGCATAGGGATGGTTTACGGTTATAGATTTAAAAGATGCCTTTTTCTGCATCCCACTTGATTTTGAAAGTCAAGAGCTATTTGCTTTTGAGTGGGAAAATTCCCAAACTGGACAAATGACTCAATATACCTGGACTGTATTGCTGCAGGGATTTAAAAATAGTCCTACATGTTTTGGAAACCAATTGACCAAAGAATTAGAAATATAGAGGTGGGAAAATAAATAAGGAACAATGCTACAGTATGTGGATGACATATTACTGGCCATGGATACTCGTGAGCAGTGTCTCAAATTGACAGTTGGACTTCATAATTTTCTGGGAATGAGTGGATATTGAGTTTCCAAAGAGAAGGCCCAGATTGCCCAGGAACAAGTAATCTATTTGGGATTTGAAATATTCAGAGGACATCACCAATTGACCCAAGAAAGAAAAGAGGCGATTTGCCAGCTTCTGGAACCATGAACTGTCCATGAGTTAAGGGTATTTCTAGGAATGGTCGGATGGTGTCGCCTGTGGATTGCCGATTACAGACTTTATGTAAAACCTGTATATGAATTGCTGAAAAATTCCTTAGGACCCTTACAATGGACACCTGATGCTCAGAATTCTTGTTTACAGCTTAAAAGATCCCTCATGACAGCTCTGACATTGGGGTTACCTAACTTGGAGAAACCTTTTGAGCTGTTCACTCATGAGAGACAGACAATTGCTTTAGGGGTCCTAACGCAGCGGCTGGGAGAATTCAGAAGACCTGTGGCATATTTTTCCAAACAACTAGACCCAGGGGGCATGGGATGGCCCGGGTGCTTGAGAGCTGTTGCAGCAATGATACTGCTGATAAAGAAGGGTCATAAATTTACTTTAGACCAAAAGATAACTGTGTTCCACGCATGGTGACTACAGTATTAGAACAAAAAGAAGGACCTGATTATCCTTGAGCCAGATGTTAAAATATCAAGCTGTTTTGCTAGAACAAGATGATGTGATTCTTAAGACTACAGTAGCTGCCAATCCAGCAATATTCTTATCAGCCAAGACTCTAGAATAAATGCCAACACATGATTGCCTCCAGACTATTGAAGAAGTATAATCTAGCTGAACTGATTTAAAAGACACTCCGTTACTTGTTGTGGACTGGAAATTATATACAGATGGAAGCAGTTTTGTCAGAGAAGGCAGACAGATGTCAGGATATGCAGTTACTGAAAAAAATAATAGAAGCTGGAGCTCTAGCGAACTGTACTTCTAAAGGCATAGTTAGTGGCATTAACCTGAGCTCTAAAACTCAGCAAAGGAAAATTAGTAAATATCTGGACTGACTCAAAATACACCTCTGGGGTTGTTCATGCCCATGGAGCTAATTGGAAAGAAAAGGGGCTCCTCTCTGCCCAGGGAAGTGAGATCAAACATAAAAAAAGAAATAATGGAACTTTTAGAGGCAGTCAACAATCCCCTCGAAGTTGCTGTAATGTACTGCAGAACCCATTAATCGGGAAAGACTGCTCAGATTAGAGGTAATAAGTTAGCAGACTTACTTACCAAAGGGGCAGCAGGAAAAGGGATAGAAAACTAAGTCCTAGCTTTGGTTCCAGATAAACAATTAGCAATACTTTCCTCTGAAAAAAACAGAATACAATAAGCAGGATTGAAAGTTAATAGAAGCCATGAAAGCCACTTTCACCAAAGAAGGGTGGGCAGTTGTACCCACTAAGATAATAGTAGTGCCATATAGCTTACTGTGTAGTGTGATAAAACAAGAGCATAATACCACTCATTGGGGAACAGAGACTCTTTTAAAATATCTACAGAAAACAGTCTTTGGGAGAAATATGATAGAAGCTGTCAGATCAGTTACAGAAAGATGTGAGATATGTCGTAAAATAATCCCAAGACCCAAAATAAAATACAGTTTGCTAAAGTGTTAGAGGGTCAGGCACCTGGGGAATTATGGCAGGTAGACTTCACAGAATTGCCTAGGAAAAGAGGATTAAAATACCTATTGGTATTAGTGGATACTTATTCAGGCTGGCCTGAGGCTTTCCCATGTCACACTAACAAGACTAGGGAAGTAGTAAAAGGATTGATAAAAAAAATAATACCAAGATTTGGTATTCCAGTTGGTATGTCCTCTGACTGAGGTCCACATTTTATTGCAAAAATAGTAACAGAAGTTAGTAGAATACTTCAAATTACTTGGCAACTGCACACTCCTTATAGGCCGCAATCCAGTGGCAAAGTGGAAAGGATGAATTATACAATTAAAACTTATTTAAGCAAAATCTGTCAGGAAACATCCCTAGATTGGACTCAAGCTTTACCATTAGCATTGTTAAGAACAAGAGTCCAACCAAAAGGAAGGCAGCATGTTAGTCCCTGTGAAACAATGTACAGCTGTCCTTATGAAATTCCAGGATTTGTGGGGGATCCATAAATCAAAGGAGAAAGTGATCAAGTAAAACTTTTGAATGGATTAGGAAAAATGTTCCAACAGCTTTCTAGGTATGTTGTAACAAATAGATCATTAAGTCTTTATCTTCCAGCACATTCGTTCCAACCTGGACATTGAATTTACGTCAAATCTTGGACTTCAGAGCCACTCCAAGAGAAATGGAAAGGACCATTCCGAGTTCTTTTGACAACCTTGCAGTCAAGGTTTGGGGCAAAGGTCCATGGAATCATTATTCAAGAATTAAAAAGGCTCCCTCCTCTTGGTCAGTAGAGCAGCAGGCCCCATTAAAGTCAAAACTACAGCGAGGATGATTAAGTTCTGTATATTCACTATGACAATAATGGTAATCATGAACCAAGTTTAACAGCCTTCACATTGGGGTCAAAATTTGCATGTAGCCTTGATACAAAATGTTACTCAAATATTACAGTGAAAGGATTTTACACATATGCCTGAGCATGGGAATAAAGCCTTTCTTTAACTGAAGTTCCAATATCCTTTAACACATCTTAGAACAACCTGTGGATTGGTCCCATGAATAGAAAAGAAACTGAACAAGTTGCAGAAGTTGTTGATCCAAAACTTTCTGCTGTGAAACATATAACTACCAACAAAACTTTGGATCCAGGAGATCAAACAGTTGGGAACTACCTCTGCTGTAGCTGGTAGCAAGTGTTCTGGCCAAGACAGGTCGGAAAGGGCACAGTCCAAGGGAGACAGAGAGGGTGGTGGCATTCCCCAAATGGGTGGTATTGGTTGTGTGGAGGCAAAGCTATAAAAGCTTTACCACCAGACTGGTCTGGAACATGTGCCTTAGGGACAGTAGTCCCAAATATAACCATCAGTGATAAATTACATGAATTGAATGCCTGGGTAAGGACATACATAAAAAGAACCAGGAGAGTCCACAATACCATCGTGGATCACCCCACAAGTTTTCACAGCTTTGTCCAATGGTTTCTCCCATGGTTAGGGGTAAGTGAAGTAGAGAAAACCATAGTAAACGTATCAGCAGTGATTGAAAGCACTGAAAAGAAAACTATTGATGGCCTGCGAGCGTTACAAATAGAAGTGACCAGTTTGTCACGGGTAGTGCCCCAAAATAGAATGGCTTTGGATTTGTTACTAGCCCCTCATGGATGTGTCTGTACTACCATAAATACAAGCTGTTGTCTGTATGTAGATCAAAGTGGCAGGATTTCTACAGATTTAGCCGAAATTTGGGAACGGACTAAGATTCTAGATCAAGTTATGAGGGATAATACGCCTTGGGGATTTGAAAAAGTATGGCACAAACTCACCTCATGGCTGCCTGACTGGTCATGGCTGAAACTGTTATTTCTAACAGTGATCTTTATTGTAACTATGTGTACTCTTGCTTGCATTGTGCTGCATTTGCTGTACAAACCTTTGCTCTAAAAGCAAGTATATCTAAAAGTGAGGGTCATAGTTGAGAAACTATGAATCCTCAAAAAAGAAGGGAATGGCAGCTCTGAATTACCTTGTAATATTTTGCTTAGGAAGATAGACTGCTTAGAAGATAGATCCTTGAAAAAAAGCTGTTATTGTTAACTATAGGCCTTTGAAGATAGTTGTTGCTTACTTGCATAGTCTTGTACATAGCCACTGACCATATGAGGTCAGTATGCTTAGATTAAGTAGAATATTTGCTGAATACCCAAAGACAAGAAGAAGAGTTGCAAGAAGACCAGAAAGGACTGGTTTTGTGGTATGTGGACTTAATCCAAACAACAACGAGTGCCAAAAGAGACAAGGTTAAGGAAAGGAGAAGGTGAAGAAGATGAAGGGGGACGAAGTAACGACCACCGACTCATTAAAGCAACCACCAGGAGGCACAAAGGGCATTATAATATGAAGATGAGTTCCAAGAAAAGCTTATCCATATGGAAATAATTTCCAGAAAACTAATGAATATGTATGACTTTTTACTATATTAACAAGATACTAACAAGTCTGGATGTCAGTGTTAGGTGGAATTATCCCCACCGACCTGGCGCCAATAAAGGAATGCTTCTTTTAGAAGCCATAAACCTTGATCTCTGAGAGTTTCTTTACTGACTGACTTTTACAGTATCACAAGGCTGCAGCATGTGTCAGCAGGGGAAAAAATTTTGATTTTTACTGTGTGTGGGCATTTTCTGCTCAGTTTTGTGTGGGTTCTGAGATGCTTGGGTGCCCCCTTGGCGGGGCAGCAGCTGCAGGGAGGATGCTGCTGTTGTGGGTGCTCTCCACGACAAGGCTCTGTGGTCACCAGCACCACACTGGGATGGTGCTGGGCTGCCTGCGGGCAGCGCTGGGGGAGGCTGAAGTGCCTCGGGGTGGGCAGCATGACACACAGGTGGGCTTGGGGAGCCTGTCCCCTCTGCCAGGAACAGGCTGGGGACGGCTGTGCCGGGCAGGAGATGGTGCCACAGCAGTGAGTCTGGGCCACGAGTCCCACCAACACGCTGCTGGGAGCAGTGGGAAGTGCCAGGCAGCCCCATGGTTTCTGGGTCTGGGGACTGTGCAGCAGAGGGGAAGGATTTCTCTTTTTCCATCTCACTAGAGCTGTGAATTTCCCTCTATAAATAGTTGCTGTGGAGACTGTGGAGCTGCAGCAGGCTGACAGACCTGCTGCCAGGGAAGCCGGGGGAGGCAGGGAGAGGCCAGCAGTAAAGTGAATCCACTGCAGCTGTCCTAGGTCTCCTGCTATCCCGAAGCCAAGGTTGTTCCCAGAAGCGGTTGCTGTGATCCGATACCCTGCCCTGCTCCTCACCACGTCCATCCAGCGATGCAGAAGAGTTCTGCTCAAGGACACCCCTCCCAGGCAGCGCGGACTAAAAGGAGAGCAGCACCAGCTGGTATCTCACTTTGGGGAGCTCCAGAACGAGCCAGATGACAAACGGAGCGGCGTGCCCTGCCTGCGAGCTGCTGCACGGTAAGTCTGCGCAGAGCCCCTGGGGCTCGGACCCCACGCGCCGACACGGCTGCTTCTGTGCTGCATGTTGCAACTTGCAGGGATGCTGCACTCAGCAAGGGTTTGCCAGGTCTGTGGTCGTGCAGAAGATGGTGTGCATTGCTCTGGTGAGCTCTGCGACTCCAGAGGTCCAGGCACTGTAAGGCATGACTGGTGGTGGGCAGCTCCTCACGGCACCTGGTGCAGGTCAGCGGAGTTCTCTGGGCCAGAGGCGAAGCACCGCTCCTTGCCCCCGGCTCTGGAGACCAGGCAGGACCGGGTTGTTGTTCTGAAGCTCTCTGACCTGGTCCAGCCTCGCAGCAAGCCGGTAAGTTCTGCACAATATAGCTCTGAATGTCAAAAGCAAAACAATTGTTTTTAATGTTAAATCAAGCAATGAAGGGCTTTAAAGCATTGATCGTCCTTTATCACAAAGCTTAGAAAAGTATGTTTCACTCTCCTATACCAAGTTGCATAGCAACGCTCCTCATCCTTTGCCAGTGCATCCAACTAACAAGGGTGGATGGAGGTGAAGTCTCGCACGCCTAAGGACAGACTTGCCTCGCCTGCACAGCCAGGACACCAGGGCCTGCTGAGCTGCCCAAAAGCTCCATCAGCCCTAGTGCTGGAATGCATTTTGTACTCTGAGTCTGCCTTCGGGTCCTGCTTTCCCACCAAAGTCTCCCATTACCATAAAAATCTACCTAGGGAAGATGCAGTTGAACTCCCTTCTCCACACACTCTTGAGTTTTCATTTGGCAGGTGAACAGTGAGCAACATCATAAAATCTTTAAGGCTGTTTCCCAACTCTCAGATCAGGCCCTGCTGTCCTAACGATGTGAGCGAAGAGGGCTTGGGCAGATTCTGGTGGTGCAGGAGCTTGCGAGGTTACCGATATGCTCAGTCCGTGCACAAATAAGGAAAATTTTGATTTCACCTCTGTTTCATAACCAAGACATTAGTATTTGCTGAAAGGAGTGGCCTTACAGACATGCAGAATCCTGGAGTTTTATGCCTAAAAAAAGACTGATTCTGAACAGTGTGAATGCCACGGTCAGAGGTGTAAAAATATAAGGAGGGGGTGGGACTTTGAGCTCCTTTCAGACCACTGAACAGGCTTGGGTGAATGGAGCAATGTCAGCTCTGGCAATTTGGACTGTCCCTGACAGGATCGGAGTTGCAAGCCCAGTCAGACCCTTAATTAGAACTGTGCTGGGAGCTTGCTGGGTGCCCAAAGGCAGGCTGCATCTGTGGCTGCTATGCTGGGAGGAGGAGCAGCTGCATGTGGAAAGGAACTTCAGTCTTTTGAGGGAGTCATGTCTCTGTCTCAGCACCTGGAACACGTTACTGTCCCAGAACAACTCCCCATCATGTGGCTCCTACTGCCACCACCACGGCTAGCCCACCATAACTATTTCTTAAAATTCTCTGGTGCCAAACAAGAACTTCGCTCTAGTGACTTGATTTGAAAGATTTAAAGGTCAATATTTCTACCTGTGCTAATGGTCTACTGGGATTATTATCACCTGTCACAAGCTCTGGCAATGTGTGCTAACCTGAAGCTTCAGTCACACAGCAAGTGACATTTTCAAATCATGAAAGGCAGGATTGGGAGTACCCCAGCTACAGCCGTTTACACTGATATTTCCATTAGCAACACGGGCTCTGGGCTGCTATTTCAGGTGACTTGTGCTGAAGCCAATTCTCCACTGGTGCTGCGGGGCAGGGGGACAGCAGTTGCATCAGTCTGTCTGCACCGTCTCGGTGTTTGTACCTTGGGCTGTCATAGTAACAAACCCTGGGAACAGCCTCTCCCTCCGTCACAGCCTCTCACTGGGGTGTCACGGGATGGTCAGTGATAAACCCATGCTCCAGCCCTGGGGCTGGGCTGCAGACAGATGTGCAGCGCTGCGGTGTCTAAAATGCAGGTTCTGCTTTGCACCCAGCTGAAGCATGAGGCTCCTCCTGCCAGTGAGAGCCCAGACGTGTGCCTGCCTCAGCCGGGATGGGGAGCGGGTGCTTTCACCTGCTGTGGCCGCAGGAGGGGATCCTGCAGTCCCCACTAAGCCCCTGCAAATCCACGCTGGGCACAGGGAAACCTGAGACTCCCACCTGGCCCTGGCCCTGCTGCACGCTGCCAGGATGCCTGCCCAGCCCCAGCCTGCCAGCTTTCCTCTTAAGATAATCTCTGCCTCCACGAAGTGCTAATAGTGTTTTTAAGAGCCCAGCTCCAGGGGCTGATGAAGTGGATGGGAAGGAAGGGGGTGAGGGGATGGCAGGGGTAGAAGAGGGAATCAATGTGTGCAGCATGCAGCAGAGGTACGTCTGCCCTGCAGCTCACCAACCCTCTTTAAAGGAGTGAGGTGCTGAAGATTGTGTGACCCGGTTCCCCACTGCCTCCATCCCCTCGTGCCAGGATCTGCTGGGCCATGGAGCAGCAGGTGCAGGAGGAGGTGCCGGCAGCCCAGAGCTCAGGTCAGTCCTCAGGCGTGCAGCTCCCGAGCCGAGATCGTGCCAGGCTCTTCCCAGGCCAGAGGAGGCCACCAGGACCTGTCCAGCCATTCCTCTGGGGCGACAGCTGTCCTCAGCTGCTCCTTCAGTCTAAGGGCATTTAAAGATGTCAGTAATGTCTCTTGGTGATGGTCCCTGCAGGAGGCCACCACCCCGTGCGGGAAGGAGAGGTGTTCAACACGCGTTACCAGGATCTGCACAAACTGGGCTGCGGTGCCTTTGCCACCGTCTGGCTGTGCCAAGACACGAGGTGAGGGGCTAACCGCCTTTCGGGGAGCTGGGAAGGGGTGCCTGATCTCCTGGGCAGGCCCAGCCCCTCTCGCAGAAGCAGCAGTGCGCAGCTGCCTGCCTGAGAGCACATCGGCATCCTCCGAGCACAGGGCAAACCTGGCAGCGAGATGGGTGGGGTGCAATGAGCAGAGCTGGTCCCTGGAAACCAAAAGAACATAAATGAGGTGGGATCAGCCCTTGCTCTGCATCGGCTCTTCTTATTTAGACCCTGCAATACACATACTCTGCCTTTTTCTCTCCAGCCCTTCGCTGGTCCCTGGGACAGCTGTGCTGCCAGATGCTGGTGGCATCACCAGGAGGGATGTCCTCGGACATGGGGTGCTGCAGACCAAGGGCAAGGCTGCTTGCAGGAAGGCAGCACCCTCCCTGGGGAACCCAGCGCTGGGTAACTGGGAGAAGGGGAGGTGCTACTGGTTAGGGCCACTCTGGCATGTGTTGGCTGGCAGCTGTGATTCATTTCCCAGGAGGAAGAAACACGTAGCTGTGAAGGTCCTGAAAAGCAGGGAAGGCTTTGCTGAGGCTGCGCAGGACGAAGTCGCTCTCCTCCGCTGCGTATGTATTTTCTGGGGCTCTGTGCTTTGCTTTGTGGGAATGGCCACTCAGTTCAGGTCTGAGTATCAGCCTCATCATCCCTTCTCCCTCTAGGTCTTGGTCTGAGGAGCTAGGTGGGGGACAGGAAAAAAACCCCAAAAGTTAGGGAATTCATAGAAATCACCCTGGCTCAGCACTGGTCTCTGAAACAGGCACCTTCTTCCTCCTGTCATACTGGGACATGCTGGTTGGGTCCTGCTTGCCCTGTCAGCCCATTTCTGTCAGCGGAGACTGAAACCCAGTAAATAGGAGGGACCCGCGAAAAGATGAGGTGGACAATGAACAGAAAAAGGTGGTAATGTTCTTAAGCAGGAGATGGCAGTGTGTCCACTGTATTTGTGTTGTTCCCATCTCAGAGGGCATTGCTCTATCACAGAACTGATACTGAAGTAAAAGGAAATATTGGGGGGGGGGGGGGGGGGGGGAGGAAGGCAGGAAAAAGCAGGATGTAGCAAAAATATAATAAACATCTGAAGTCAGAAGGCTTCCTCCTGCCTTTGCTAATGGATGTGGTAATTAGGTGCCTGTATCTGGGTCTCAGCTAGTTGCCTTTGAAGATGGCTGGACCTGCTAGTTCTAGAAAGCTCATGGTTACAATTCTTGGAGTTTATCTAAATACAAAGTTACATCAGCCTTAGATGAGTAAAAGCCATTAAATTTTGCATTACAAATTACTCTGAGGCCTTTCTCCAGCAGGTTGGAGAAAGGTTTAGTTCACACCTGTAAATCTGTAGGTTCCATCCAAAGGGACTTAAGCCAGACTCAGTGATGCAAGAGGAAGTACCAAGTGGCACTAATTTAATGTAATCAGAGGGTTGCTTTTCTACACATCAGCACAATCCTGCATACAGACCAAGCCTTACCCTTGATTTATTACTAATTCTGTCTGAAGGACGTGCCTTCCCATTCAGCAGAATGCAGTTGCTTCCCAGGGCTGTTCCCACCGGCACAGGGTGGTCGGTGCCAGCAGAGGCGATCTGGTCTCCCCTGCTTCCATGGCTGCTCCCTTCTGCCATGCCAGCACAAACCTCCTGATGCTGGTGCTGGAGGATCTGGCATCTGCACAACGTGCCGAAACAAAATCCCGACAGTTATGGCTGTGAAAAAAAAAAAAAAAAGTAGTATGAATTGCTGTAGGAGGCCAAACAAACAGTGCTGGTGCGAGAGGTGGGGGTACTGCAGCACCCATGCTTGGGCAGACCAGGGGTTCACCCTGGCCCAGCAGCAGATATCCAGGTGGGTGTAAGGACAAGCTAAGCACAGGGTGCTGCTCCCACTGAATGCTCCACTGGCCTACAGCAGTTTCCAGTTGGAGATTTCTTGGGCTAAGGGTGATGTCTGTATGGGCACTAATTCTCAGCAGGTTTACCTTCAAGAGACCTGCCCTGCTTTCCTGTGAGCCCAAGCAGGCTTCAGCAACCACAGCACCCTGTGACAAGAACTGCCACCAATTACCCAAGCGCTGCATGAAGAACCATCTCCTCTGCTTTGTTTCTGAACTTCCCAAGTGCTGGGTTTGTTGCCCTCTGGTTCTTCTCTGAAAGATCTGTCTTCACCCTCTCTAGCACCACTCCATATCTTACAGATCTCTGCAGTACTTGCCCATAGCCAACCCTTTTTCAGCCCAAAGAAGCCTACTTTTCTGGGTTCCTCCGGACATGGAAGCTGCTCTCTACCCTGGTAGGACAGGTAGCCTTCGAGTGGCTGAAGACAACCGCAAGGTTTCTGCCTCTCTGCAACCCCTTGTGAGAAATTGCTGAAGGTGTAGGTTTTAAAAAGTGATGTCCCAGCCTGCTGTGCACAGCCAGGGAGGCACAGGGCCATCCCCGCTCTGAGGACAAGGAGCAGAGGCTGCAGAAGGGTGAAGGAAATGGACAGCCATCGCTGCCAGGAGCTGGGAGATGTGGTCTTGGGGGAATCTCCTTCCAGCACAAGCAGGAGCAGTTTCTGGGCCTGCATGGGATAGAATAAACAGGGGGAAGCATGCTAGACACTATTAGCAGGGTCGGTTTGACTTATTCAGGCACTGTAAGGGTGATGGCCCCACCTGGTCAAGAGCTAGGCAACATATAGAAGCTCGTTCCTTGGTAACAGACTCTGCTTGTGTGTTTGAAGCCTGTTTTTCCTGATGCTGTTTTCATGGGATTTGTCATGAAATGACAACTCCTGGAAGAGAAAGTCTGCAGAATGGGATAAAATGGGTGCAAGATGTCCTTGTTGCATATATATGTCTCTAATTACAGCTTTCTTGGAATCCTCCCCCTCAGGTGAGCAGTATGAAGAAGAAGGACCAGGCAGGAGAAAACATTGTCTGTTTGTTAGATGACTTCAGAATGATTGGAGAGAATGGCTTCCATATCCTTCTGCTGAGCATGCTGCAGCTCTGGGTCAGCAAAGCCTGGGCTTGCCTCGGAGAGTCGCAGGATGGTGTAAACCCAAGCGCTGTGCTCCCGTGAGGAGGATGAGCAAGGCAATAGCTGGACTGGGGCACATGGAGGTGGCTGGAGGGGAGAGGTTGGATAAGGAGGTATTGGGCTGCTCTGGTGAAGAGCAGAAGGCTGTTGGTAGCACCTTCTCTCTGTTAGTGAATCCTTGACTCTTTCTCACATGTATGCTTGGTATTTGAGGCACTGGGTCCTTCCCTGCGATGTCTGATGAGTAACTATGCAGCCCAGGGACTGCCTTTGCCTTTTGTGAAAAAATCTTTACATCAGGTGAGAACGTGGCTGGAACCGGGTGAGGGCACCAAGGGGCTGTTGGCTGGGGGACATGTCTTCATCCTGGGGTCACCTGCCATGAACTCCATCCACAGCATCCAGCCGCGGGTAGCACTGGCAGGCCCGGCAGCTTTCTGCACGGTACCACCAAAGGCTGCTCGAGGTCTCTCAGCGCTGATGTCCTTCCAGGGCCTTCTAAATTGCTGGTTTGGTTGGCTGGTCCTCCACCCGTGTTGAGGTTTTCCCGCTCAGAGCCAACTCTTTCTTCATCCCCTGTAAGGATGTGGTGTGCTGATCAAACAGATCATGAAAACTGAGTGTCTTACGCATTGGCTGGGAATTGCTAAAGAATGGGAAACCTGAGTGAGGCCTCAGAATAGTTAAAATTACATTTTGCTTTTCATGCTGAGATTTATCAGAAGTCTGCACTCTTGCCAAGGTGAAGATTTGCTACCCTGATTTCTGTGCCCTTCTAGGGAGACTAAGAAAGAAAACCACTTCTTCCTTCATCCTATTTTCTGGAATAGCCTCTTTTTCCTCTGAAGAAGCTCCATTAATACCTGAATAAGTTACACAAAAATGTAGTGGCATTAATCTCTGTCCCTCATTTCACACTCAAGACTTTTGCTTGATCCATTCCCTTATCTACTTCAATTGTAAAATCTCAGAATCTTTTTCCCCCTTCAGATCAGCACTGGGGCAGTATTTACTTCGGATTCATTCCAGTTTAGCTATTTAAATCTTTCCCCGTGTTTCACAGTTACCATTTAAGGTTGGTTATTTTCCTGGGGCTGGTGTTCATCCCAGAATAGAATTTGATAATACAGAGAATATTTGCCAGCCCTTTATGACTGACCAGAGTGTTTAAAAAACAAATATAAGTCTCCCAGTAGCCTTTTCGCTGTTATTGATTTCTGATAGCGACTGTTTCTCTCTGGTAGGCATTGTTTATCTCTCCCTTGCTCCATCGTAAGCCATTCTTTCCCTACATGGCTCTCCTGCACTGCTCTTAAGTCCTCTCTACACGCACTCACTCATGGTCTCTCCCTCCTCCTGTCTGGGTTATGCTGCACCTCCTTTACTTTCCTTGTACAATGGGACTCCCTCCTGTGTCATGTCCCTCTGTAACTGGCCCCCAACTTCCACTGGAACAATTATCAGCAGGAAGGCACAGTGGCCCAAGGGCAGTACAGCCATACGAACCGGAGGGTTTTTTCAGGAGAAAGTTCAGCTTTGTGATCCTAATGCCTCCTCGTAGCCCTATCCTCTTTCCACCTCCACGGGTTTGCCCGTCCATGCTGATATCTGTGGCTTTTCACACCACCTTCTGCTGCGTGTCACCCCCACCTCCCCCAGACAGCCCCTTCCCTACTGGGCTCCCCCAGCCCCTCGCACCGGGGGCTCTGGCGCCCGCCCCTCCAGCCATGCTGTGCCACAAAACCCCTTGTGCCCGCTCCCAACCCACGCCACTGCCTGCACCTCCAGCTTCATACAGCGCGCTCACCGCACAGAAGAAATTTATTGCAGATAGTTATCATCAGTGCCCCCTTTCTTCAACGCCAGGACGTCCTCCGCTCGCGGTCCCACGGTGCCCGACTGCTCCGAGAGCCGCGGGGGCAGGGGAGGCGGTGGGGACCCCCGCGTTGCTGGGTGACTTGCTGCCCGCTCGCCCAGGTGCTGGCCGGGCTGCACTTCCTGCACAAGCGCTGCCGCATCATCCACGCGGACATCAAACCGGAGAACATCTTGCTGTGCGGGTGTGACAAAAACCTTCGAAGGCTTCTGCCCGATCCATTCGACCATGGCCAGAAAACAGATCTGAGGCTAAAGGGACCAGGTGAGCGCTCCATGTTTTTTTAACAAGGGACTTACTGTTTATTGCCAGGAGGGAAACAGAAAGGCAGCAGGTACAGATACCTTAGGAACATGTTCCCATCTCCTGCAATGGCCAGTAGAAAACAGTGCAGCCAGCTTATGCTGCCGAGGCCTCTCCTATCCCTGCTTAATACAAGCATCAGGTTCAGCAGCTACAAGCTACTCTAGGTACCTACAGAAACGTAGTCTGGCAGATAGGTTTGTGCAGAGGACAGCTACAGATCTCAGGCATCTGCTAACAGCCCCACCACAACCTTGGAGCTCATTCTTACAGCTTCAGGTACAGGATAGTTCCCTTGTGTCTGGCGTTTTCAGCCACTGAAGGGCTTACATACAAAATGGTTTGATCAGAAAGCTGTGCGACACTTCTGCTCTTTATTTCCCATATTTCTGAGGTTTGCGGGAGACTTGTATGTAATGCTAATCTTTAAGGACTTTTGAGACATAATTTATTTGCAGAGAATAGTGTGAATATTGAATAAGATGTAGGGCTGGAGAGTTTCTCAAGAGATCAGCTCATCTCTCAGCAACAAGACCCTTCATATTATCCTCACATGATGTTCTCCCACAAGTATCTCTCCCAGGACAGCACTGTTTTGTCTCTCAAACTCTGAGGCAATCGGGGAATTTTAAATTAGTGACTCTCTGCTTTTCTGCTCCAACCAAAAATATTAGCACAGACTGACAGCTCACTGTAAAGCAGTAAGCTAAAAATTACCCTTTTCCAGGGTCATATGAAAATGTAACCTTTACAGCACTTGCCAAGCAGGCTGTGTCCAAGGTCCGTGACAGCCAGGATTGCTGAGGGCTAGAGGCATTACAGATGTTTTGTGCTTGACCAGCGCTAGAAGCATACGCTCTCCTCTGGGCCCACAGTAATTTAACCTCAGTGTGAGAACCTTGCAGCAGGACAGGAGCACATGGTCACACCACTCCACGCCAAGCTCCTGTCCTCCCAAGCACCGTCTCTGATTTTGACTGGATACTAGCTCTTCCTTTGTGTTTCTTCAAAAAACAGGGGTGGCATTTTATTGATGATAAAAAGCATTTTAGGATCTTTTAGGCTGAAAACTTTAAAGGCAGGCATACATGCCTCTCCTGTGGTAAGTGATGCGTACCTGTTGGTTTGGAAAGACCTGATTTCTCTCTGTCCTTTCCACCTAGGAGGTGATCTTGGCAATCAATTGGAAGAATCTGATTTAATGAGCATAGAAGTGAAAATTGCAGATCTGGGCAGCGCATGCTGGACAGTGAGTCTTGCTCCAAGTCTCAATCCCATGGCGTTGCAGGATGCTGTGTGCTTCTTTCCATCCCACCCTGTGTGTCTGTCCTTTTACAGCTGAACAGCTATTTCAGTGTGCTGAGATGCCAGTTGCGGGGGGGGGTGTGTGTGTGTTATATTCAGCACTCCAAGCTGGGCACGGTACTCCTGGAGACACTGCCAACTTTGGACGTTTATTCAGTTTGCAGTTAGTCCCTACAACTGGAAATTCAAAACCATGTTCAGTGTTGGGAGATAAATTCACCCTGCCATCAGTGGGGCTGCGAACGTGCCTGCCGTGCCCTGTGCAGAGTTCAGTACTCATATTCGGTTCTGCCCCTCAGTGTCCTCCTCGCTCCGTGGGAAGCGTGTGAGCACAAGCGTTGTCGTTACTCATTTCCGGACACTAACCAAAGGGAGTTTGTTTCTGTTTCAGTACAAGCCGTTTTCCAAGGAGATACAGACCCAGCCATACCGTGCCCTGGAAGTGCTTCTTGGATTAGACTATGGCACTCCTGCGGATATCTGGAGCACGGGCTGCCTGGTAGGACTGAGGACAACGCTGTGTGTGCATGGGAGGTGACTGATGCCAACAGGCCAGGGGCAGCGTGTCCGCAACGGCCACCTATACACGCTGCATGTAAAGTAAAAATTCCTTGCTGAGAAGGAAAACAGGGCTGTCTCCACTCAGTCACTTTGGAGTGAAACTACGTATGCTGCTGAGAAAACTTACTCTTAGTTAGTTAATGCTATAAGGCAATTCACACTCCGTGTATGTTAACTCAGGCTTGACTGAACCAGGCACATCCTGATGGAGCTACAGGTGCTGTTTTACCATGGTGCAGATCAAACCAGTGTGAATATTTCTATATTTTAGGATCAATTTGTGTGATACCAAGGGAAATCGGTACTATCAGTTAATGGGGCAAAAAACCCCTCAAAGCCAGGTAGTGAATTAACAGTGCTACTCCATTTCTAGGCATTTGAAATGGCAACTGGCGAGTACCTATTTGATCCTCAACCTGGGAAATATTTCTCCAGAGACGATGGTAGGACTTCATCTGTTTTACTCATTTCACTGACACAAGTGCCATCATCTTTGTATCTAGATGTGCTTTCCCTCTGTCTAGATCATGTTGCTCGTATTATTGAACTCCTGGGAAGAATTCCTCCTCAAATTGCTTTCTCCTGGAACAAGTCAACAAAATTTTTCAGCACGCCAGGTAGGAATTAGAGTAAGGCAGTTTACTCTAAAAATCCTTGTGGGTCACTGACACATTCCTACTCAGCTCACACTGAAAACCACCAAAAGTTATGTTACACAACACAGGCTACAAGCAGGGACAGAAGACAAGCGGAGATTTCATAAAGAGCAGTAACACTCCCTGCCCTGCCTACCTTTGCAATCCAGGAGTGTTCCAGGGATGAATGCAAAATCCTGAAAAAGAGTCACAGCAAACACCCAACAGGGAAAACATTTCCATTCCTTCTCCTCTGGATTTGGAGCAAATGGAAATACAGACAGGAAATAGCTACATGCCAGGAAGGCTGAAGAGTGCATAACCGGCTGGATTTCACCCCTTCACTAGCAGAGAACAATGGTATCAGGAACGGGACACTCATATCCGTGGCTGCTATATTTAGTCTTCTGACCCAACTGTAACATCTCTTCTTTTACATTCTCCCCAATTCCTTTCCCTTTGACTCATTAGGCTTGAAATCCTTGCCTTTGACTTCTGGGCATCACGACTCCATCCTTCTGCTATTTAGTCTATCATTCTCTTTCTCTGCTTTCAGTATTCACCAGCCCCACAGCCTCAGCCTACCCACAATTCATTCAGTGTTGCGTGCTAGCCTCATCCTGCAGTTCAACAAGAACCTCATTGCACATTCACATCTTTTGCTCACACTTATTCCTTCTATGGCGCTCAAAAGAAATGAGTCAAAACTAGTTCTTGTTCTATATTCATTCCCCTGTGTGAACCAGACGGGCCTGACCACACATGCCTAACCTGAATCACTACATTTACACCATGCACTCCCAGAGCCAAAGATAGCTCCTGGGTCAGCCATGGCACTCTTCAGGGCCCCATGGAGCTAGCAGGCACAAAACAAATTAAACATTAGTGTCTTGTGAGCTCTGGCACTGAGATGGCCCAATGCGTTTTGGGTTGCATGTGGACAGGCACAAGGAACAGGCAGCAACGGCTTTACACAGCTATTCTGGCAACACTTCATCGCTCCTGGCATGTTCTCATCAAAGAAGTATTTAAGGAGACTACACACTAGCTTGGAAAGATGGTTTCTGAGAAACACTCGAGCGCCAAACCTGCAAGGGCAGTACAGGTGAAGCGTACAGAGAGGAAGATTCAGAAGTGAAGGGATCCTTCAGGGGGCTTTGGATGAATTGTGTGAGGTGAGGGTCGGCAGCCTCTCGGCCCTGCAAGTGTAATTAAGGTGCTGTGCTTACGCTGTCTTTGCTAGGTGCTCTTCTGCGGATCTCCAGGCTTTCCCCCCGCAGCCTCCACTGCATCCTGGCGGACAGACACAACTGGACGCCCCACGACGTTACCCCCTTCACCAGCTTCCTCCTGCCCGCGCTGCGCTACGCGCCCGAGCGCCGCGCCACAGCCGCCCAGTGCCTGCACCACGCGTGGCTGAGCCCCCCGTGACCGGCCCCGCGGCGGGGGGAACCGCCTCGCCTCCCCGCTCCGCGGCTCCGGGGACCGCGGGGCCCCGGGCTGAGCTGCCATGGCGGCAGCGGGCGCAGCGCGCAAGATGGCGGCGGGGCCGGGCCGGGCCGCCCCTCGGGCGCCGGCGGCTGCTCGCCCGCCCGGGGCGCGGCGCAGCCTCTGCCGAGCGGGAGCAGGGCGGTGGCCGCCGCTTTGTCCCGCAGCTCCCGCCGCCGTCGGGCACCGCTCGACTCCCTCAAACGTCCCTTTAACTCGCGTAGTCCGCACGCAGCGTTAATTGGCAAGCCGTAATTAACGTCCTGCGGTCTCGCGGTCTGTGAGGCAGTTTAGCAGGAGGAGGGGGGGGGGGGGGGCAGGGAGAGCGCTACCTCACCCGCCTCGCCTCCCTCGCGGGGCGCCCACCCGCCCTGGCGCGGAGGCAGCAGGTTCCCTCCGGCCCGGCTCAGCGGGTCGCGGCGCCTCCTTCCCGCCGAGAGGCCGCTGCTCCGCCTCACGCCGCCGGCCCCGCGGTCAGCGCCCGCCGCCCTTTGTTTGGGGCTCGGCGGAGGGAGAACCGGCCGGCCGATGGGCTCCAGCGCGGCCCCGGCCGGCGGAGGGGGGGCCCAGCAGGCGGTCACCCCCGCTCCGTTCTCCGCCTCGGCGGGAGCACAGCGGCTCCGCACGCCGGCAGACCCGCCTCGGAGAAGGGGGTTATGGCGGCGGGCGCGCTGCCCCCCCCTCCCCCGCCTTTCCCGGACCCCTGAGGGGACCCCAGCCCCCCCCCCCCCCCCCTCCGGCGCGGACGTGCCGAGCTGCAGGCCCCGCGCCTGCGCCCACCCCCCCCCCCCCGCCTCTACTTCCTCCCGCGCATGCGCGGCGCAGCGGCGGCTGCCGCCCAGGAATCCCGGCCGCCCGCGCCGCCCCTTCGTTCTGCCACGTGTCCCGACGCGGGAGTTACCCCGCGGAGCGCGGCGCCCTGGCGGGGGCGCGGCCGCGCCACGGAGGCCACGCCCCTCGGCACGTAGCGCGGCCCGGCCGGCTGCACCGCGGACGACGCTGGCGGCCGCCCGCCCCCCCCCCCCCCTCCTTTTTCCCGCCGCCGATTGTCAGCTCCGCCCGCCAATGGAACGCTGCGAGCGGCGAGCGCGGCTCCCAATGAGGCGGGGCCGGGACGGTGAGGCCACCAATGGCGGGCGGGGCGGCGGGCGTCCCGGCGGGGCGGGGTGTAGCGCAGTGGCAGCCAACGGGGAGCGCGGGTGGGCGTGTTCGGGGCGCCCCTGGCGCCGGCGCCGGGGATCCCCGTGCGCCCAGTGCCGTTTCCGCCCGGCCTGGGGAGAAGCCGCCGCTACTGGTGCCAGGGGGAGGGGCCGGACCTGCCGCCCGGGGCTCGCTCCCGCCAGCTGCCCAGGAGACGCCGTGGCTCTGAGCCGGGCCTAGTGCCGCTGCAGGGGCCCGGGGAACGGGCCGGCCAGGTAGGCGCGGGCGGGGACCGGCGGCGGAGCTGGCGGGAGGGAATGCCGGGGTGGGAGAACGGGCGGGCGGCTGTGGGATCTCCCGGTGCGGGCCGCGGCCCGGCGCACCGCCCTACCCTGCGTCGGGGGCCCGGGCGTCGGGGCCCCGCCTCGGCGCTGGGGCAGCGACCCCAGAGGCCCGACCTGGACCGGGGCGGGGGAGGGGGGGCAGGCCAGGCCGGGCCCGGCCCGGCGGACCATCATGGCGGTGCCGGCGGTGCGCTCCCGCCCGCGGCGGCCGAGCTCGGAGCGGTGCTGCCAGGCCGGTGCGGGGCCGGGCCCGGCCGCGGGGCTTTGTCGGTGGAGGCGAGCGCTGGGGAAGCCCCGCTGCAGGCTCGCCTGCAGCGCTCCCCCTATTTTTTTTTTTTCCCCCCTTGTTATCCCGGGGGGGGGGGGGGGTGTCTCGGGGGTCGTCGTCCGTCTCGGGGCAGCCTCCTCTGGGCCGCCGCTGCCTGCCCCTGCCTCCGTTGCCTGCCCCAAGCCGCCGGCCCCCCCCCGGGCCTCGGGGGAGGCGGTGTTTGACCTGCATTTTCTGCTTTCTCATGGTGCCCGTGCGGCGTCTTCCCCGCCGTAGCCCCCCGCTCCCGACCCGCCCGGCGCCGGGGGCTGCAGCGCGGATTCTCCTGCATTTCCTCGCCAGTCACGCGTAGCCGCCGCGGGGTGGGTTCCCGGCTGCTCCGCCCGGCCCCGCTCCGACCCCCGCCGCTTTCTCACCGACGGCACCGGCAAGGTCACTGTCGCCTGGCGGCTCGTCCTTGGGTGCCGGTGACCGGAGTTCACCGCCGGGTCGGGTGGGGAAGGCGGCGGCGAGCAGCGTCTCACCGGCCCCGAAGGGAGGGAAGGAGGCGAGGTGCGAGGCCGCGTGTGACCCTGGGGAAGCGGGGAAAGGGGTGTAGCGGTGGCGGGGGGGGGGGGGGTCACAGCCACTTCCCGGCCCTGTCCCCACGCTCTTCTGCCAGAAACTAAGATCCCCCCCCGGGTGGGCTTTTTTGGGTGTGGGGGAGTGTCTGCGGAGGACACGGGGTGCTGCAGGGCTGCGGTGGCTGCTGTGGGCTCTGGCCATGATGTAATGGGAGCAGGGAGGGTCTGGCCGGGCCAGGGCGAGGGGGCCAGCACCTTCCCTTGTGCCAAAGGGGTTGTAGGGTCTCGAAGAACTTGCTGTTGCTGTCCAATGGTGTGCCAGTGCATCGTGGATTTCAGATGGTTCCTCCCCACCCTGACTGGGTTTTACTGCCAGAACCTAAACCCAGAAAAAGAATTTTCTATTCCTTCATTAGAAATAGGAGATTCCCCTTTTCGCTTGGATATGAAATACTAGGATTTTTTTTTTTTTTTTCCATGTGGTTGACCCAGGAAGTCATCTTGTCGCCAGCCTTCTGGGTTTTTTTTGCTGTAGAGGTGCAGGGAGGAGGGTGTTGCTTTGCTCTGGATCCTGTGGGTAAGCGTTGAAGGCTGTGACAGCAGCTGCTGTTGGCTCTGGAGCTCTGGTTGCTATGAGAGAAGCTTCAGTAGACTTGGCTGCTATCTCCAGGGAAGGACAGCAGAGCAGCCTCCATTAGTGTGGTGGTGGAGAGATGGCTGGCTCATGTTCAGCTAAGGGCTCTACTTTTCGGACTGTTTCCACAGGTCCAAAGCAGAAGTGGGGTTATGTTTTGGTCCAGTGGGACAAAAACCTACAAGGTGGGTTTCATCACTATTAATGGTATTGCATTAAAGTGTGGGCTGGAAACACTGAGTTACCCTTTCCAGATATTTTGGTCCGTGTGAAAAGTAGGACAGCGAGAATTGATATGATCTTCCTGTTAAGTGAAGGCTGCAGTCGTGCCTCTTTTGAACTCCAGTCTCCTTTCCAGCCAGTAACAGAGCCAGATGCTTTTCTTATTGTTTGTATGTCTCCTTCCTCCCCTTCCATCGCCTGGGCCCCACTTGCCTTATTGACTGGAATTTCTGCTGTGTGCAGTGGGTGTGTGCAGCAGACACCAGCCTGCTAGTGCTGAGGAGGGATTTTTCCGTTCACAGACCAGGGAACAGTCAAAATAAAGGCCCGGTTCAACTTTGGGACTGGAAACAGAAAGTGGGGAGAGGAGTTTCCCTCTGCTGCAGAGTAAAATTTATCCTCTGTGCTCGTTATGAGGTTGTATGTCAAAATGAGTAGAAAATGCTGTTCTGCTGTGGAATAGGAAGGTGAAACTCCTGTGAATAATGGGGAAGATTCTTCTCTTTCAGTTGACTCAAATGCCTGATGAAGGAACAGTTTGCAGGAGGCCATTTTTGACGTGACTATGTATTGTGGAATCTGCCAGCTTCTATCCACACTCTGTCTACTTGACTGCAATAGCTTCCTTTTTTTTTTTTTGGAAAAAAAAAAAAAAAGAATGAGTGCTTTATCTGCTTAACTAACCATTTGGTACTGGCCTCTCTCTGTATGATATTGTGTTGTCAAGTTGGAGCTATCAGCATATTCCAGTGCATTTGTTAAAGATGAAACTGTTAGTTGAGGTATGCAGTATGGGAAATTGGAATATATTAGCATTAGAAAACAACTGCCATCTTTGTAAGCTAACACCTATAATGGGGAGCCCCTTGCCCTGGCCTGAGTTACCAAGCTCAGAATTACTATGAGCTTGAAGCAGAAATTCCTGGACCAGGATAATGTGAGAGAGATTAAAATATGCCCTTAAATCCGCTTGACTGGTAGCAGTCGTGGTAGATGCCAAACTCTGGAGTAGGTTTTTATATTTGAGGGTCTGTAGCACCCAAATTGTTTCACAAAGTGGGGTGTGCAACTTCTAATCCACCTAAAATGCATCCCTTGCTGGGGCTGAATGTGGTATCTGCTGCTTAGCGTGGAGTGACGTGACCACAGTAATGAACTTGGGATTTTCTGAGTATGAAAACTAGCTCCTTGGTTTAATAAAATACAGCAAGTGATCTTCGTGGCCCCTTAGTCTCTGTTTACAGTCTCTCTGTATGTTTTAATGGGGAATTAGTCTGCTGCCTCGCATCCTGTTGAAGAACTGGCACCACTTTGACAAGGCCTTGGCCTTTCCTTTTACTGTTATATCCCGAGTGACCTGAAAGTAATATTCCTTAGCTAATGTCTGAGATTTCCCCACCCCAAGGTGGGGTGGGGAAATCCCATGTGCATTTAAAATCCCTTTTTAGAAAAAGGATTTGGTTACAGCCAGAATTTACTTTGAAGAGTAATAGGTTGAAGTTGGAAAAACTCATAGGAAAGAGATGGCATTGAACTGGCATCTCAGAACATTCAAAAGTTTATGCTCTTTCTTGGGGGAGAGGAGGGGAGGGGATGGGGATGGGACGGGACACAACAGGACAGACGGACAACCAACAGCCATTGATTTAAATTTTCCAAATGTTTCCTGAAGTAAAAAAAAA